AAGTATGTGGCTATTAGGGGAAGGGGTCTCAGGACGAGTGAACTATGGGTAAGCCATGTGAAGTAAAACTTGTGAATTACTTTGTTCCTTTTACTCGTGCCACGCGGGAATATCAACAATACTTTTATCAGAACACTGTTTATGTAGCACTTGTTAGAGACAGGCGACTCTTCAAAGACTGACTGAGCACTCTAATCGCGGGCTTTATATACCCATCAGAGATCAAAACCATGGCGCGAATAGATCAATCTCACAATCTATATCTTAACTTTCCATCGTCTGTATTGGCTGTTAAACTAGTGACAAAACATGGATTTAGTAAGCCTTCAAAGGCAAAACATAACAAAGTAAAGCTTCAAGAATTAAGCATAAACATGGTTAAAAATGTTATCAATGGTCGATTCTTCGACACTCCCGGCCGCTGATTCTGGCTCTCCTTTCTTCGATCTCCCTCCTGAGCGATGTGATCCGGTCCATTAGGAGTTTCCTTGAATTCGGCACACTGCAGAGAGCTTTGTGATGGCCGTCGTCATCCGGAATAAGGTCTTCAGCGATGGTCCCTCTGATACGATCACAGTACCAACAACTCCTCGGATTCTTCTGGAACTTGCACTTGTATCTGGGGCAGTTGCCCAGGCAGCGTACGCAGAGCTTTCCACTGTCGACAATATGGTATCTTTCGTTTCCATCGACCACCTCTGGGCAGGAGTCAGAGTAATGGTATCTTATTTTTCCACAAAAAGCGCATGGTTTGTCGCTCGTGACGTCGTTCGAGTCTCCAATCATTCTGTATGGAAACTTGTGAAGAACATCTTCCATTTCCCATAGGTCTTCTTGAGTCGATTGATACTTGTGATTTCGTCGGAACTATCTCTTCTATCGATGTCACGGTCGTCTTCGTCGTCGCTTGAAATGTCCTCCAGATTAGGTACTTCCTCCATTCGATCATCTTCGTCGTTAACTTCTTCGATCATTCTTTCGAAGTAGGCCTTGTCAGAGATTTCGGCCTTCTGCCTCTTCTCTTTTTTCCTTTTTCGGAACTTGTTGTTGGTTAAGCTGTTCCTTCGTACTGTGTTCTTATTGCTTCCAGCTCTTCAATCTTCTTTTTCAGATCATAGATTTCGTCTTGCTGCGTTGTACCGTACGATGAGCATGAATGCCATCCTTTTGTGCGTTTCGGCTTGGTCGTATTGCTTCGAATTGTAAACTTCTCGTTCCACTTTCAAGAGTTCCTTCTCGATTTCTTTTACTAGAGTTCCAAGGCGTTTGATTTCGTCGTCGCTCTTCGAGAGGATCTCGGAGATGTTGATTGATCTTTTCTGCACTTGTATCCAGTTCTTGCATCGATGGGGTCGAATAATCTTTCGTACCACTTCCTTGTAAAGAAATACTTGTAAGATAGCTGCACTATCTTTTCCTTCGCCGATTCAGCTGCCCTGAGAATTCGATTCAGTTCGATCACTTGTTCCTGGGGTGGACTGAAGTTAAGTACATCTCCTTTCATATGCGTCCAGTCTGAGCGAATAATAGCAGCAGTTTCGAGTTGCCTGTCGATTCCATCCATCGTTAGGGTGAGGCTATTCTCCAGGCAGCTTGCCGTAGGCGCCTTTTCCTCCATGTAGAGTTCAAGCAGAGCGAGTTCGTCGTCCATGTTACTTGTAGCACTCCTGAAATTAGGGAATATTTCAGAGTATAGATATAGATCGAAGTAGATAAATGTTGGAGCTACTTGTGTTTTATAGGGTGGATTATCCCCGTGCTGTCGGATAAGATGAGGGAGTCCGAGTGGTTTCCCCAGATCATTTGAAAGGCTTTTTGCAAAGTAACATGGGGATCTGAAGTTGGAATGGAAACATGTTCGTACAAGTTGCGACACCATTGCCTGAGTAAACTTTGCAAGTTTTAAGCCGTAAGGCATGTAGGAATACTTGACTAAAGTTTAGCAGCATCATCAAGGCAAGAAGAGGTAGTATCAGTTTGTGTAAGAACTGCTGGGAAATTTCATGTTGTTCCGAATATTGTCGTCGGTGCACTTTACTTCCATCCATTGGTTGTGTAGGAAAACTTGCGTGTCTTCGTCGAGCCCGTCGAACTTGGCGTACAATCTTGGTGAGATTAGTTTAGCCCCTCCGTTGACATAGGTGGCCAGTTGGGTGCTATAACCCGAAAACTGGTTGGAGCAGGAACATCCAATTACTATGCATAAGATCGACAGGATGTTTATAAGTAATGATGAATGTACTGTAGAACTTGTCGCTAAGGTTCCTCCGCAGTTTATTTGTTTTCTAGGTCGAAGATTATAACGACCTGTTGGTTTTCTGGAGCTTGTTATATTGTCACCTTCGATAGATTCGGAGTCATTCTTGGGAGTTGATCGTGGAGGTACTTCTTCTTGGACTTGTATTGGGAAATTTTCTCGTCCAATTCCAATGGAATTAGTAGGTTTATTGGTCGACGTACTTGCCGATGTGATGGTAGCATAACAACTGCTTCGCGTATTACTCCTCCAGAATTCGCTACTAAGTCCTGAATTCTCCCCATTCTCCATGAGTGTCGTGGCTGAACTTGTTCAGTAATTAGGACAATGTCACCCTTTTTTGGTAGACGTGTTGAACTCCTGTTCTTGCCAACTTCAAGTTGGTGCTTTTCTCGTAAAGCTAGCAAATATTGCGTTTTCCAGATTTGCCAGAACTTCTCAGTGAATTTGCATGATGATCGCAAAGCTTGTACAGCCTCTCTTTTAGTCCTAATGAGAGCTTGTTCTTCAGCTGGGTAGTAGGTGTGATCTTCTCCATCTTCGTCAACTTCATCCAGTGGATAAGGCACTTCGAATTCATTTTGTAGGAAGTCAATAGGCCTCAATACCTGTTCAAACGGTGAGTGTGATCCTATGTATACCAGTCTGTAGGAAACATATTACGCCTTTTGCTCCTCGGCAAGGCGGATTGACTGATCAAGACAGTAAAACATTCGCTTTACAAGTTATTGGGACACTCTAAGCTTTCCTTTGAACACTGTCAACTTTAATACTCGAAATCGAAGCACTTATCAAAAAGACCGCTTGTA